TGCCTTATAGATAACCTTAAGACTAACATATAGATACTAACACCCGAAAAACTTTAATTTTGATTTCATGGGGACTTTAACAAATTGTAAATTTGTCCAAGGTCAGTACAGGTGTTTTGTCCAGACAATAGTACATATGGTACATAGGAGTTTAGATGTTCATGTCATATTGGTAATTGTCTTTGAAATGTGTTTGTGGGAGATCTACAGTTTTCAGGTAGATGATTTAAATAGTGAAAGTCACTTTGCATTGTCAGCACATGCTTCAGTGCTCTGAGAGTTTATAGTGCTGTGAGCTTAACACTTCATGACTGACACTGTTTATCATAATAACACACACAATGACTACAATGACATTCATCTTCTTCTTGATTTTAGGAATGTATTTTGAAGGTAAGACCAAGTTCTTTAATGCATAGATTATTTTCAGCTGAAATATCAACATTATTGAAAAAAAGTTTAATGTCTTTTAATTGTTCTTTTAGATTCTACAGGACAGGTGACTGTAATTCAGACTCCAACAGAGAAACATGTTCAGAACGGACAAACAGTCACTCTGACCTGTAAAACCAGCAGCTCCATTGGACGCCAGTCAGACGGTGACTGTAAGTCTTGTGTTTCCTGGTACCTACAGAAACTTGGAGAAACTCCTAAACTCTTAGTGTACTACATTAAATCCCTCCAGTCAGGAACTCCATCTAGATTTAGTGGAAATGGAGCTGATTATGGAACTGATTTCTCTCTGACCATCAGCGGAGTCCAGACTGAAGATACAGGATATTATTTCGGTCAGAGTTACCACTGGATCAACAATAAACCTGTGTTCACACAATGATAAAGAGTCGAACAAAAACCTCCATCAGTCAGAGTCACAGTGACTGCACTGATACACAGAGTCACAGAGATACTGCAGCTGCTCATAAACACAATCACACACAACACTGATCAGTGAACAAACACTAATAACACAATATCATCACAATCAACAGAAATCTTATTTACATTTAATCATTTAGCAGATGCTTTTATCCAAAGCGACTTACGAATGAGGAGAACAATAGATGCAATCAGACCAACAGGAGAGCAACAGCATACAAGTGATGTGACAAGTCTCAGTTAGTCTAGCACAGTAAACATAGCAAGTTTTTTTCTTCAATAAATTAGAAGAAAAATGAATAAAATAGAATATAATATCATAGAATTGTGCCTCTTTGGGATGGAACCATGAGGCATCGTTCACTTGCAGAACGCAATATTCTGGAGAGTGCATGGGTCTGAACTAGTGAGTTTAGGTATATTGGAGAAGAGCCAGCGGTTGTCTTGTAGGCAAACATCAGTACCTTGAATTTGATGCGAGCGGCTTTTGGCAGCCAGTGCAAACTGATGAAGAGAGGTGTGACATGGACTTTCTTCGGCTTGTTGAAGACCACTCTAGCTGCTGCATTCTGGATCAGTTGCAGAGGCTTGATGGTACATGCCAGAAGGCCCACCAAGAGATCATTACAATAGTCCAGTCTGGAGAGAACAAGAGCTTGGACAAGGAGTTGTGTGGCCTGCTCTGATAGGAAGGGTCTAATCTTCCTAATGTTATATAAGGCAAATCTGCAGGACTGGGCGGTTGTATTAATATGGTCTGCGAAGCTTAACTGATCATCAA